CAGGGTGGTGATGGTAGAAGGAAGGTGATGGTAGCAGAGTGGTGATGGTAGCAGAGTGGTGATGGTGGCAGGGTGGTGATGGTGGCAGGGTGGTGATGGTAGAAGGAAGGTGATGGTGGCAGGGTGGTGATGGTGGCAGGGTGGTGATGGTAGAGGGATGGTGATGGTGGCAGGGTGGTGATGGTAGAAGGAAGGTGATGGTGGCAGGGCGATGATGGTGGCAGGGTGGTGATGGTGGCAGAGTGGTGATGGTGGCAGGGTGGTGATGGTAGCAGAGTGGTGATGGTGGCAGGGTGGTGATGGTGGCAGGGTGGTGATGGTAGAAGGAAGGTGATGGTGGCAGGGCGATGATGGTGGCAGGGTGGTGATGGTGGCAGAGTGGTGATGGTGGCAGGGTGGTGATGGTAGAAGGAAGGTGATGGTGGCAGGGCGATGATGGTGGCAGGGTGGTGATGGTGGCAGAGTGGTGATGGTGGCAGGGTGGTGATGGTAGAAGGAAGGTGATGGTGGCAGGGCGATGATGGTGGCAGGGTGGTGATGGTGGCAGAGTGGTGATGGTGGCAGGGTGGTGATGGTGGCAGGGTGGTGATGGTAGAAGGAAGGTGATGGTGGCAGGGTGGTGATGGTGGCAGGGTGGTGATGGTGGCAGGGTGGTGATGGTGGCAGGGTGGGGATGGTGGCAGGGTGGTGATGGTGGCAGGGTGGTGATGGTGGCAGGGTGGTGATGGTGGCAGGGTGGTGATGGTGGCAGGGTGGTGATGGTAGAAGGAAGGTGATGGTGGCAGGGTGGTGATGGTGGCAGGGTGGTGATGGTGGCAGGGTGGTGATGGTGGCAGGGTGGTGATGGTGGCAGGGTGGTGATGGTGGCAGGGTGGTGATGGTAGAAGGAAGGTGATGGTGGCAGAGTGGTGATGGTGGCAGGGTGGTGATGGTGGCAGGGTGGTGATGGTGGCAGGGTGGTGATGGTAGAAGGAAGGTGATGGTGGCAGAGTGGTGATGGTGGCAGGGTGGTGATGGTAGAAGGAAGGTGATGGTGGCAGGGTGGTGATGGTGGCAGGGTGGTGATGGTAGAAGGAAGGTGATGGTGGCAGAGTGGTGATGATGGCAGGGTGGTGATGGTGGCAGGGTGGTGATGGTGGCAGGGTGGTGATGGTGGCAGGGTGGTGATGGTGGCAGGGTGGTGATGGTGGCAGGGTGGTGATGGTAGAAGGAAGGTGATGGTGGCAGAGTGGTGATGGTGGCAGGGTGGTGATGGTGGCAGGGTGGTGATGGTGGCAGGGTGGTGATGGTAGAAGGAAGGTGATGGTGGCAGAGTGGTGATGGTGGCAGGGTGATGATGGTAGAAGGAAGGTGATGGTGGCAGGGTGGTGATGGTGGCAGGGTGGTGATGGTAGAAGGAAGGTGATGGTGGCAGAGTGGTGATGGTGGCAGAGTGGTGATGGTGGCAGGGTGGTGATGGTGGCAGAGTGGTGATGGTGGCAGAATGGTGATGGTGGCAGAGTGGTGATGGTGGCAGGGTGGTGATGGTGGCAGAGTGGTGATGGTGGCAGAGTGGTGATGGTGGCAGGGTGGTGATGGTGGCAGAGTGGTGATGGTGGCAGAGTGGTGATGGTGGCAGGGTGGTGATGGTGGCAGGGTGGTGATGGTGGCAGGGTGGTGATGGTGGCAGAGTGGTGATGGTGGCAGAGTGGTGATGGTGGCAGGGTGGTGATGGTGGCAGAGTGGTGATGGTGGCAGGGTGGTGATGGTGGCAGGGTGGTGATGGTGGCAGGGTGGTGATGGTGGCAGAGTGGTGATGGTGGCAGAGTGGTGATGGTGGCAGAGTGGTGATGGTGGCAGGGTGATGATGGTGGCAGGGGGGTGATGGTGGCAGAGTGGTGATGGTGGCAGGGTGGTGATGGTGGCAGGGTGGTGATGGTAGAAGGAAGGTGATGGTGGCAGGGTGGTGATGGTGGCAGAGTGGTGATGGTGGCAGAGTGGTGATGGTGGCAGAGTGGTGATGGTGGCAGAGTGGTGATGGTGGCAGGGTGGTGATGGTGGCAGAGTGGTGATGGTGGCAGAGTGGTGATGGTGGCAGGGTGGTGATGGTGGCAGGGTGGTGATGGTGGCAGGGTGGTGATGGTGGCAGGGTGGTGATGGTAGAAGGAAGGTGATGGTGGCAGGGTGGTGATGGTAGCAGGGTGGTGATGGTGGCAGGGTGGTGATGGTAGAAGGAAGGTGATGGTGGCAGGGTGGTGATGGTGGCAGGGTGGTGATGGTAGAAGGAAGGTGATGGTGGCAGGGTGGTGATGGTGGCAGGGTGGTGATGGTGGCAGGGTGGTGATGGTGGCAGGGTGGTGATGGTGGCAGGGTGGTGATGGTAGAAGGAAGGTGATGGTGGCAGGGTGGTGATGGTGGCAGGGTGGTGATGGTGGCAGGGTGGTGATGGTAGAAGGAAGGTGATGGTGGCAGGGTGGTGATGGTGGCAGGGTGGTGATGGTGGCAGGGTGGTGATGGTGGC